TTATATTGACCTACATTCAGTAACACCGGGTTATGTCTAAAAAAATAAAGTCTGCTACACTGAAAAAAATATTGATTGACAGATTATCCAATCAATCATGTCTGGTCTACAAAACGAAACTGTTCTTCTCTTCTAAACTTGATTTCTTTGCTCTTAATTAATGTAACTGAACCATATAAACCATAGGTGAACCATATAAAATCATTTTGAGACATTTGCTCAATTCAGAATAACTTAATTCAATATCTGATGTGGATGATTGAATAATGTAAATCCAACAATTTTATAATAAATAATCTTTTTATGTTGTCTTTTGTCTTTGAGAATAAATAATTTTGATTAATATTAAATCAAAATGAATGTTTGAACCAAACCATAATAATAATAATGATAAAACTAATACATTTGGCTGTAACCAATTTAAGTGTCTGTTTGTTTTATAGTTTGTACAAAGTATAATTTTTTTTCAGTGTAGTATTGTAGTACATTACAGTAATTTTCATGCTAAAGTGGTAAATCATCGTAACGTACCAGCAGATCTCCACTGCCTTCAGGAAGAGTTCCTGGGAGTCCCTAAAAGAAGAGGAAGAAGTATACATGAAACTGAATTAATTGAATGAAATAAATGTGTTTTTGCAGTTTGAGTGCTTGTGTGCAGGTACTTACAGGAGGTCCATCTGTGCCTGGAAGACCAGGGAGTCCTGGAAGACCCTCGGGCCCCTAAACCAGCACACAAACCAGAGCCACTCAGCACAACACTCGCCCATGAGCTTTGCTGCTAAAATACACATCTATGTGTGTGTTTACTCTCAGTGGACTGAAGAGAGAGGTCCACAGGATTCACAATCAAACATCAGCCTGTCTGACACAACTGTTATGTGCAGCATGTTTCATCTGCTCGTCTCTGTGCTCTGCTTACTGTAGCTCTTCACGGCCAAAATGCTGTTTTTCATTTGTGCAGTGCAGATAGCAACCTGTATTAGTTTTTTTCTCAAAGTATATCTATGTTTGATCACTAACACATGACCAGCAACATAAACGTCTTTGCTATTTTTGCTGTAAAAAGCCACTCACCGGCGGACCCTGAGGTCCTGCTCCACCTGGAAGTCCATTAGCTCCAGCAAGACCCTGACATCAGAAAACACACAGAAATGCAAATACACACTTTCTTTTGCCGAGTGTCCTCACTGGATAATAAATTATCATAAGCCAACCAAGAGCCAGTGCAAATAAACGCATCTGAACTCATAGCTAATGCCTGTGACAGCAGGAGTGTTTTCCTCTGATTCTGGTTTTGGACGGGTTGTACTCACCAGAGCTCCTGGTCTGCCTCTGCCCTGAGGAAGACAAGAGAAGAGAACCTAAGTCACTGCCTGACATTACATCATGATACGGCACTCTTGCTGTACAGATGATTTGTGAATGTAAGTAATGACGGTGGTCTGTATGAATCAGAGAAAAGTATGGTGTGGGTTTGAGCTGGAGAGCATCTTTTGGTCCTGTGCTGTTGGAAACAGGATGAAATGTCATATGACCGTGTTTACTGTGGATTTACTGATGCTTGGCACCTACAGGGGGTCCGTCCGGTCCGGGAGGTCCTGGGTCACCCTACAACACACACACACAATAATGTTCTGAGTTCACAATAATATGCTAAATAAAAGCCTGAGCTGGCAAGCTGGGAAAGAGTAAGTGCATCAGGGCTGTGTTGTGAAGACTATGTTCTCTCTGACCTCCATCATTCAACACCACACAGCTGATCACCAACAATCTTACTAAAAAATACTTCAGTTTGTCATGCATTCGTTTTTTCTATGGTTTAGTTTAAACCTTAAATTCTGATTTGATTTTCATCAAAATAATTATTTTTCTAAAGATAAAAACAGACAAAGTAAAACGATTTTTAAACATACATAATTGAAATGTCGGATCATTGACTTTTTTCAGTTATTTTGAAGTGACTAAAGGAAGAGTCTCAAAGTGATTTTCTGTGGTTTCATTCATTTATTCACTCAGTTTCATACATATTTCCTGTTATAGCACTATTATAAGATAGTGCTAAATAACTAATTGTTAGTGAGCAATCGCTCTTAATTAGCATATTAAATTGTAACGCTGCGTCCAAAATCGAATACTTCTTACTATATACTGGGTTGGCACGGTTACTTTTAAAATGTATTTCGCTACAGATTACAAAATACACACTTTAAAAAGTTGACACCCCCACTAATGCACTGTTTCCTTCTGGAGCATCAGTAAATGTTTTCATCTTCTGTAATAGTTGTGCATGAGTCCCTCAACTGCCCTCAGTGTGAAAAGATGGATCTCAAAATCATACAGTCACTGCTGGAAAGGGTTCAGATATGCAGAAGACGCTGGAAAACCTGAGAATGTGCAGGAGCTGGGGGTTTTTCTGAAGAACAGCAGGACTGCTCAGGACAAACAAGGACTCATGAACAACCATCACAAAGCATGAAAACAGTCGTGGATCATCCAGGTAACTAACCACACACAGTTCAGATGCAAGGGTACGTACATTTTTGAATGGGGAAATGTTTTTAAATTCAGTTATTTTGTCATGTGGATTATGTAAACATCTGTTATGTGAAAACGCTTATTCAGGACAGTACTAAATAAAAATAACATGCAATTTTTATGATCCTTCTAATTTTGTTAAAATTATTAAAACTTTGCATATTTTGTATGAAACTTGACAATGACAACATGACAGATGTAGTACGTCCGAATGTCATTCATACTATATAGAAGATACTTCTTGAACAGCTGCGAAGTAAGATCAAATTCAAATGTATTACGCTATTTCAGACGCACTGTAAGTCTGCTTCTTAAAGCAGCACTCTTCATGTGTCTGTCTTCAGCGCAGTGCTAACCCAGAGGAGCTGAAACTCTTCTAACTCCCAACATAACTCAACACAAAACTCTCCCACTTTTCCCATCTTGCTCAAAAGCACAAAACTATACTTAGTTTCATTTTTTACACTACGTCCCATGCAAAGCATGCTACAGTTTCAGTTATGTCAACATCAAAAATCATTTTCAAGTACTTGATTGGTTCACTTTCGCCCTACATAACGTAATCTAGTAGATTGCACATTTGGAAGAATTACATTGTTTGAGTATTATTACAGTGAGCGTGCCATATTTAAAATATATTTCATATGTACTTATTATATATATTTTTACAATATATTTTCTTTAGACATAAGCCAAAATGTAATCCAGTGTAGGTCAATATAATATATTTGGCTTTTTACAAACATCACCATAAACAAAACCTAAATAAGCTGTAATATGAAAGTTCAATTTTCATTTTATATTTATGAAAAAAATTAAATATGCATCATATTTTCTGTTATTTACTAACATAAATAAATATGTTTTATCCAAACTGAACAAAACAGGCTTAACTGAAAATCATGATTTTTGATTAGAACAATATAAAAAGGTACTACCCAAAATCGGACTGATAATACAAATAATAGCATTTATTTCTGAAATGTCTGAACAGTGCGCCCCTCAATGAACTGCAGCAAAATCAGGTTAATTTGACAACTACAGTATGTAGCATTCTATTGCTGTCAAACAGTTCATGCATTAAACACACTGTTATAAGACATCACATGAACGTCCCAAAGCACCCAGAGCTCAGTCCATCAGCCTCACAGAATTACAGTGATTTCTGCTGATTCCAGGAAACTAATGAACAGAAAAGCTGTGCTGGGACGACTTCACATTCCAGGCTGGATTAGAGAAAACTACCGATTCATCTACAGTCAGCTGATCCTCATTAAAACTGCTCGCGGCTGCACACTGTGCTCAGGCCACAACACATTTGACAATCAAAGCTACAAGAGTTATTAGTAGTTTTATTAGGTAATATGATATACATTCACTACTGTAGATGAGCTTAGACATTTTTAATCACAGAAACAGAAAAGTGTGTGGTACATATTCATCCTTAATATGTTATGATGTTATGTGACTCGACAACTCAACTCAACTCAAACAAACTGAGAGTCACTTACTGCTGCTCCTGATGGTCCATCCTTGCCAGCTGGACCGTCCGGACCGGTCAAACCCTGCAGAACAGGGCATTTTCATGAATTCTGTTTAGTGTTTATATGATTTCCTTTCTATAAATAAAAGAAAAAAGTCTGTGTGTGTGTGTGTGTGCGTGCGTGTGAGTGTGAGCATGCGTGCGTGAGTGCGTGCGTATGTGTGTGTGTGTCTGAGTGTGTGTGTGTGTGTGTGTGTCTGTCTGTCTGTGTGTGTGTGTGAGTGTGTGTGGCACTGAAAATGCTGCTGTTTCTTTGTGACTTACATCCACACCGGGGAGGCCAGGCAGTCCCAGGCTTCCTGCGGCCCCAGATTTACCTGCTTTACCTTTCAGCCCCTGCAGTCAGAAGAGAATTTGACAATATCATTAGTGTATCGATTCTGTGTTTACATGTTATTTATTGCATCTAACAAACCAGCTTGAAAAAAAGCTTTAGGGAAGGGAATAACGTAAGCAGCTGGACGGGGTTAAAACATGACACTCGACTCGTGGTCTATGTTGCCCTGCTCTAGCTCATTATTTATTCAAAATCTAGATAGAGAAGCATCGTCTGAACAATCATCAGAGATATGGATGAATATCTTTAGCATTGTGATGCACGTTAAATACACAAGCAAAGTAAACTTGCAAAATCAGTGCTTTAAAGTATTTTACAGGCAGCACATCCAGAGATACTCACAGGCTTACCAGGAAGTCCGGCAGGGCCAGGTTTACCCTGCACAGATAACAATCACTGACTTTCTCAATGTTAGACATATACATGATTAGACAGCAGTCCACAGGGATCATGCATTCATCAAACAAACTTTGTGTTACAAAAGGTTGTGCTGTTCACCATCTGCATGCAGAGCTGCTGTGAGAGAGAGTGTGGCGAGGCTGAGAGCGGGGCTGGGGAACGTTAGATGCTTGTGTTTGATTTGAGGCTGAATGAATGGGCTCTCTGTCACTGCACCTCTGCTGCTCGCACTAAGCAGATTTTCGTTTACTGAGGAAACATTCACTGCTTTCATCGTTTACACGCGTAAATTCCTGAGAGTTTTTCCTTTACCATTTACAGCATGCCTAAAACAGCCAAAACATTACAGTTCACACTTGCAATATAACGAAGGTCATTTACATGAACGTTTTAGATTATTGATGAGATTTTTTTTAGTTCACAGAATGAAAATCTGTTCAGTCATATTTGTGAATTTTAATCTAAATGTGTATCAAACACACACAGACAAAGGAAACGGAATATAAAAACATATGTGTATATATAGGCTAATAGATGAACACATGAAGCTGGAACTCACGTCAATGCCATCTTTCCCCGGCGGCCCTGGCGCTCCAGCTGCACCCCGAGGACCCGGCCTTTGCTATAGACACAAACAACACGAAATCAAGAAGGAGAATAATCAAATAAAGAAATCAATGTGAATAACAGAAATCCCTCAGGTCTGTTCTCAGCTCAAAATGTCTCAAACGTTTCTGAGTGAAGCTAGAATTAAATGTGTTCATAAATCAAAATTAACTAGTCACAATGTGATTTGCATGGAATTTTTCAATAATCAGACAGAAAAAGACCAACATGAAGAACACAACTGAAGTGAAATGAGTGCGCAAAGATCTCACAAACATGCCATTGTGCGACGATCACATTACACTGAGAAAAAATGTTCTGTAAGGTAAGCGGATTTTTTTCCTTTTCATATTGTAACATCAATATTAACATATTTATTCATGTAAAAAAAATAAAAAAAGATATCTGACGTCCACTTGAAGTGACACCAACAAAAGTCATTTTCAGCGTCAGGTAGTCTTTTGCAACATACACATTACAATCAGTCCACAAAGCGTTTTTCTCTTTTCTCTTACCTGAGCGAGAGACGATGTTAGCAGCTGGAACAGAAAGAGTAAATGAAGCGCTGAGAACACGGCCATGGCTCCTGTGCTCCCCGCAGTCCTGTGCCCTGTGCTGGACGACTCTCAGTATGATTGCAGATAAAGGGGCAGCGCGGGGTCCGGCGGAGGGGGCGGTCATCAGCTCAGTACAGTAGGGTGGCCCTTATTTTCGGACTTTTGAAATCTTCTGCTCTCACCTGCCCCTTTGATTATGAATATGAATATAAAGTTTACTTGTTTAAAGGGGTCATATGATGCAATTTCATTTTTTCTTTATGTTTACGCGGCGCGATGCAATGCAACGCAATGCGTAAAAATACAGTATAAGTCATTATAATCAGTAATTATGTCCCCACTGGATGCAACAAATGCCTAATTTATAATGGATTTTAATGTTTTTGTCTCGTTGCTCCGGCCGGACACGGCATCAACAGTATGTGAGGGGCGTAACATTTCCGTCACACGCTTGAGGTATTCGGCCAATCACAACGCACTGGATAGCTGGCCAATCACAGCACACCTTGCTTTTCAGACCGATGAGCTTTGTAAAAATCGGTGCGTTTCAGAAAGGCGGGGCATAGAGGAATGTACAGAATGTACAGTATGTGGAAAATAATGCTTTTTTTTACTTTAAACCGCATAAACACGTCATTACACCAAATACACAAAATAATGCTCTTTTTAGCAGCATCGTATGACCCCTTTAACCTAGGTTAAGTTCAGATAAATCTATTCAACAGTACGTAAATGTGTGTCACAATCCTAAATTAGACCAAAAGCTTTTTTTTTTGCGTGTATACTGTTACCGGTCACACTGTATTGGGGCAAAAATTGAAGGAAAAACAGGAACTCATTAAATATATGTCGGAATTAGTCTATCATACAAGCAAGGATGGCAAATGAAAAGAAAATAGTTCCAAACAAAGCCACAGCAAAACCGCTGAATAACAACATATTTCATTCCTGAATGAAACACTGCTTTTCAATCAATCAGATGAATGAATGATTCATTGCCCATTTCATGTCTGAAACCACTGAGTAAACATTTGAGGAAGAATTATGAATATGGGCAGCATGAATGAATGTTAGTGTCAGTTGCATTGCTTGACTGCTATTTACAACTCCTCTCCTGTGTCTCATCGGATAGAAAAGTGTTCATAAAATATTATTTTCACATACTAGTTTTCGCCTGTATACTAGGGACATAATTCAGATGCAGATCACTTCCTTTGTTCCTGAATGAATAAGGAGTTAATTAATGAGATAAATTAGAATAAATTAATTAATGACTCTCATTACAACAGTGACCGCCACCTATTTGTGGTTTTAAATTCCTATTTAAAAGTATAATTTCTTGTCAATTCTTACATTTACATTTATATGAAAAATAATGCCATATGTCTTGAATAGTGTTGAATAGCACTAACTGAAATAATAATGCATTGCATTAACAGTGCTTGCATTTTAATGCCTCTCTACCACAAAGGAGATTATAATGCTATTTTACCCAACGCTGATGTACAGAACTAACATTACATCTGAGGAAGACATATATGTATTGCTTTCGGTTGCTTAGTTTGCTTTACTTGTGTCATGGCTTGTGTGAAGCTGTGCTGTAATACTGTGGTTACCCTCATCAGGATTCCTAAACGACTCCCCAACGACCTCAGTGAACTAATACAGTGATATAAGACCTCAGATCTCAGAAAAAGTTTTACTGATGATGCAGACTATACCGACAGTTAAGCAGATGTAGAATATGAATAAACGCGCAAGGTTTCACGCTGTTTCCCTCAGAAATCTGTTAAAGAAAATGCATTACGCGGCTCAGTGCACTAACACAATGACAGCTATTAAAAGACCAAACTCCGATCTTACTGATGATGCAAACTACAAACAGGCAGATGAGGATATGAACGCAAGTTACGGACCGCGCAAAACTGCACATTAAACATCTCCCATAAAGAAAACACTTAACGTGGTTTAATGCCTTTTTGAGGCAATACATTTTATGACAGTGATAAATGATTAAATTTGGCATCTAATTAATAATATATATGACTGTATAGTATGCAGATGAGCCCAGAATATGAGCCCACAATCCACAAAGTTTCACCAAACCATTTTTTCTCCCACAGAAAACCAAGCGAGATAGTTTTAGGTGTGATATTCGCTGCATATTCGCCTAGGCTGCTTTAGGGACCGTCTGCAAATTTACGTCACAGTACAAAACGTTAAAAAAAAAAAAAGTCCAACAATTTATTCAAATTAATGTTTACAGTAAATGAATAATTTACTCAAACTGATTAAATATAGATTGCCAATAACTCGTCTTTCCCTATGTAGCCTACACAGATATTGTTTAAAGAAAAAAATTACAGTAATTCACCAAAATGAGTTTTTTTTGTGTTGTGTTCTGTGTTCGTGTTCAAAATGTTGTTACTAGTATGTTACTAGTGACCAGACTGACTTACTACATTTGAAATTTTGCCAATATCTTCCTCACTGTATATACAGTATATAACTATCTTAAGAAATTACTGTAATTCACATAAAGTTTTTTTTTATGTTCCAAAGTTTGTAGTACATTCCTAGTGACTAGACTGACTTACTATAGGTGAAATTTTGCTAATACCCTTACTGTACATAAAGTACGTCAATATTTTATACTACAAGCTTTGGAACATGAAAAATCCCTTTTGGGGTCTTACAGATTTTTTTGTTTTTGTTTTAATTGTGAATGGTGCATACAGTAAGGGAGATATTGGCAAAACTTCACATAAAAGTAAGTCAGTCTTGTAACTAGCAACGTACTACAACCAGTGGAACATGAAGAAAAAACCCTTCTGGTGAATTACTGTAGTTTTTTAAAAAGATATTTGTGTACTATACATACCGTAAGGGAGATATTGGCAAAATCTCACCTGTAGTAAATCACTATGAACAATACTTTACAATTTGACAGTATGTTATTTTAAATGTTAAAAGTCATTTTAATTAAAATACATTGGACGTTTTAACCCAGTCGGTGGAATTGTCAGACGGTCCCTTGTGTGCGATAGCGCGTCAATGCTTTCTCCGCTTTAAATTTGCAGCAACAATACACCTAGGCGGTTTTGAACTCCTATTTTTATGTCAATATAAAGTGTTTGCATATTGTTAAAACTAATCGTGGTATTGATCAGTGGTAAGGGTAAGCAATTATAAAGAAAATGTAGCGCATTGCGTTCTTCTGACCTCATTTGCTTGCCTGTATATAGTTCGCATAATCATCAATAAAGCGTTTTCTGAGATCTGAGGTCTTATATCACTGTATTAGTTCACTGAGGAGCGTTACGCTCGTTGGGGAGTCCTGGAGTGTGATGTATGAGGGCAGGGGCGATTCTAGGATTTTTTCAACTGGGGGCCACAACTAATACAGAGGGGCCAATCTTATATTGTGTATTTATTTGTAGAACTGTAGATATCTGAATCATTTAAAGTTCAGTAAGCTGCAATATACAGAGATACCTTATCAATTAATAGCATTTATTCACTGCTGTAAATCAGAACAGTCAAATACAATTTGTATGAACTTTTCACGTTTAAGAAGTGAAAAAGTGTAATAAAAGAATCCAATCTATGAATAGAGTGCAACTCACAAAAATAATAAAACTCAACATTAAGTTATATAAACTTTACACAAATCCTCACAACAAGGGCAAAACAAAAAGTCCAGGTTTCAGAAAATAATAGAACAGCTTTATTTATACAAATGTAGAGTTCTATTAATCATTCATATAATAAATACACAATTAAGGAATTAACAACTTTATAAATTAAATAGAATAATAAAAAAATAGTTTATTTATAGTTTTATCCACATCCTATTCAATTTGCATACCAGCAGTTGCAGTAAATTTGCATTGAAGAATTCACTAAATCTAAATATGACAAGGCTAACTAAGCTTTGAACATATTGATTGTAAAATATCATATATCCATACCTAATTTTAGATATTATCTATTTTATCTATGCACATCTTATATGAACAGTTATTTTAGTATTCTTTACTTATATTACAGTGTGTGCATAATTTTAAAATTGACTATTAATTTTGTTTAA